TTTGCATATGAAGTAAAGAACACCTTACATTATATCCCTAGGGCTTGGCTATTTTATAACTGGAAGTCTGTACCTTGGGGTTTCCTGCATCCAACTCCCCCTTCCCCTCCTTCCAGTAGCCAATATCCGACCTCATTTTTCTATAAGTTTGCTTGTTTGTTTTTAAAATATAATTCAAGGGCTTCCCTGGTGGCCCAGTGGTAAAGAACATGCTTGCCAGTGAGAGACACAGGCTCAGTCCCTGGTGGGGAATATCTCACACGCCATGAGCAAGCAAGCCCACGCCCCACAGGTATAGCGCCATGTGCCCCAGAGCGCGTGACCCGCGGCAGCAGAAGCCTCCGCACGGAGGAGCCCGCATGCCCCAGCCGGGAGCAGCCCCCGCTGGTCGCAACTCGAGAAGAGCCCGCGCAGGCACGGAGGTCCAGCACAGCCAAAAACAAATAAACAACGCAACTCAAAAAAGAGGGTAACCGGCTCATAGCACTCTGTCAGTTCCTGGTACACAGCACAGTGGTTTGGTGTTACTATACACTTTGTGAAAAGATACTTACAAAGCTATTATATAATTGTTCACTATATGACCCACACCCTACATTTCAGCCCCATGACATTTAGTCTGTAACTCGAAGCTTGTACCTCTTAAGCTCTTTCCCTTATTTCTTTCCTTCCCAACCCCTCACCGGGCAGCCACTTGTTTATTCTCTGTATCTGTGACTCTCTGTTTTGTTAGGCTTTCCGATTTGTTTCAGAGTTCACATACAAGTGAAATCATACAGTATTTGTCTTTCTCTGTCTGACTTATTTCACTTAGCATGATGCCCTCGAGGTCTACCATATTGTCAAATGGCAAGATTTTATTCTTTATTATGGCAGAGTAAAACTCCATCATGTATAACCGCACACTTTTCCACAGTCGCTGCACCAATTTACATTCCCACTAACAGAGTATGAGGGTTCCCCTTTCTCCACGTCATCAACCTTGTTACTTGTAGACTTTTGACAATGGCCATTCTGACAGGTGTGAAGTGATGTCTCACTGCAGTTTCAATTTGCCTTTCTCTTTAATAATTAACAGGGTTGAGTATCATTTCATGCCTGCTGGCCACCTGTATGTCTCCTTTGGGACAGAGATTTCTATTCAAGTCTTCTGCCCATCTTTTGATTGGATTATTTGGGAGTTTTGTGATATTGAATTGTATTGGCTGTTTGTGTATTTTGGATATTGCTTCTTGGCCTTTTGGCTAAGATCAAGTGTATATTTTGGATATTAATCGCTTGTCAGTCACATCATTTCAAAATATTTTTTTTCCAGTGCATAGGTCATTTTTTTTTTTGTTTATCAGTGGTTTCCTTTCTTTTGCAAAAGCCTTTAATTAGGTCCCATTTATTTATATTTGCTTTTGATTCTCTTGCCTGAGAAGACAGCTCCCCCAAAATATTGCTACAATTTATGTCAGAGTGTTCTGCTTGTTTTCTTGTAGACGTTTTATGATTTCTGGCCTTACATTAATGCCTTTAGTCCTTTTTGAATTTACTTTTGTATATGGTGTGAAAAAATGTTCTAATTTTATTCTTTTACATGTAGCTGTCCAGTTTTCCCAGCACCACTTATTGAAGACACCTGTCTTTTCTCCACTGTATGTTCTTGCCTCCTTTGTCGTGTTAAGGGACCATGTAAGTGCAGGCTTATCAGGGCTCTATATTCTGCTCCACTGATTCACGGGTCTCTTTTGTGCCAGTAGCGCACTGTCTTGATGACTGTAGTTCAGTTTGAAGTCAGGGACCGTGATTCTCCCAACTCTGGTCCTCCATCTCAAGATTGTTTTGGTTATCCAGAGTCTTTTGTGTTTCCATACAAATTTTAAAATTATTTGCCCTAGTTCTGGGGGAAAATGCCATTACTATTTTGCTAGGGATTGCACTGTATCTATTGACTGCCTTGGGTAGAATTGTCATATTAACAGTAGTAAAATTTTCAGTTTATGAACGTGGTGTATTTTTTCACCTGTTTGTACCGTCTTCAACTTCTGTCTTCAGTGTCTTAAAGTTTTCTGAGTACAAGTCTTTCACCTCCTTAGATATGTCCACTCCGAGGTATTTTATTCTTTTTAATGCTATATAAATTGGATTGTTTCCTTATTTCTTTTCCTGATCTTTCATTGTCAGTATAGAAGATTTCTGTGTATTAATTTTTAATCCTGTAAATTTGCTGAATTCATTGATGAACTCTAGTAGTGTTCTGAAAGCATCTTTAGGATTTTCTGTGTATAACATCATGTCATCTGCAGACAGTGGGAGTTTTACTTCTTCCTTTCCAGTTTGGGCTCTTTTTATTTCTTTTCCTTGTCTAATTGCTGTGTGTGTCTAAGACTTCCAGTGCTATGTTGAGTAAAACTGGTAAGAATAGGCATACTAGTCTTGTTCCTGATCTTAAGGGAAAGCTTTCAGCTTTTCACCACACCATAGTTAGCTGTGGTCTTGTCATATGCAACCCTGTATTATGTTGAGCTATGGTCCTTCTATATTCAATCTGTGGAGAGGTTTTTTTTTTTTTAATAATAAATGGATATTGAATTTTGTTCAAAGCCTTTCCTGGATCTTCTGAGGGGATCATATGATTTTTATTCTTCATTTTGCTAATGTGGTATATCACATGGATTGATTTGAGGATCCACGGGAATTGTCCAGGAAAGAGTGCTGGGGTGGGTAGCCCACCCTTCTCCAGCGGACGTTTCGGACACAGAGATTGAATCAGGGTTTCCTGTACTGCGGGTGGCGTCTTCACCAGCTGGCCCACCGGGGCGGCCCCATGTGGCACAGCACACTGACTGATCTGAAGATACTGAAAAACCCTGGCGTCCTTGCAGTGAAGCCTACTTGATCCTGGTGTGTGATCCTTTTAATGTACTGTTGACTTCTGTCTGCTTATATTTTTGTTGAGGATTTTTTGCTTATAGTTTGTTGAGGGTTTTTTTTTTTTTTGTATATATGTTCATGAGTGATACTGGCCTGTGATTTTCTCTGTTTTGTGTGTGGTCTCTTTGTCTGATTTTGGTATCAGGGTGACAGTGATCTCATAAGTTTGGGAGTGTTGCTTCCCTTGTATTTTTTGGAGTAGTTTCAGAAGGATGGGTGTTCTCGCCTTCAAATGTTTGAAAGAATTTGCCTGTGAAGCCATCTGTGCACTCAAGTCTCTTAGTCGTGTCCGACCCTTCGCGACCCGGTGGACTGCAGCCCATCAGGCTCCTCTGTGCATGGGACTTTACAGACAAGAATACTGGAGTGGGTGGCCATTTCTTTCTGGTCCTGGACTTTTTGGTTTTTGGGCATATATACATATAACTTGGCTGTGCTGGGTCTTAGCTGCGGCATGAGAGAGCCTCCATGTTCACTGTGGCATGTGGGATCTAGTTTCCGGACCAGGGGTCAAACTTGCACTGGGAGCACAGAGTCCTAGCTGCTGGGCCGCCAGAGCTGTTGGCAGTTTTTAAGTCATGGATTCCATTCGGCACTTGTGACTGGTCGTTCGTATTTTCTCTCTTCCTGGTTCAGTCCTGAGAGAGTATGCCTTTTTAAGAATTTGTCCATTTCCTCTAGGTTGTCCATTTTATCAAAACAGTTGCTCATAGCAGTCTTTTGTGATGTTTTGTATTTCTGTGGTGTCGGTTATAACTTTTCCTTTTTCACTTCCTATTTTATTGAGTTGGCACCCCTCCTGTGATGTGTGAGATGTACCAGTGTTTGGGCTTTGATGGCCTTGAATCTGTGGCCTAATTGATTCCATCTTCTTTTCTCCTAGCCCCTCTGGTTGTCCTCACAGGTGACGTCTTTCTGTCCTGGAAACCAGTCCCGAGACTCCCCTTTGGGGTCCCAGCCTCAGCAGGTGGAATTGAGAGGTAGGGGTGTGGCTCAGAAGAGCCCGTGCCTGACCCGTCTGTCCTCCAGTCCTCAGGGCAGGCGCAGAGGAGCGAGTCTCGTGAGCCTGGGGTTTGCAGCCGTCTGGGACTCCCCCCCGCCAGTACCCCCATCTGAACTGGTCTTCTCTATTCTGTAGCAGGGGGAGTCCTTGGGCAACAACAGGAGCTCTGCACCCCTGTGGGCAGCTGAGAGCATACGATTCAGGAAGAATATTCTGTGAGTTTCCAATGTCGGCAGAGTCAAGCTGGAGTAGACAGTGGGTTTGGAAGTGGGTGGGGGCCCTGCAGGACTCTGAGGGGCTGTGGTCACGGCAAGAGAGGCCCAGGCTGCACGGCACCTCCACCCAACACACACACACACACGCCTGCAGGCAGATGTGCACACACACATGCAAAGTGCACATACACACACACTCAAATGCATGCACACAGCCAGTCTCGCCCTTTAGATCCGCTCCCCATTCAGCTACTTGGTCCTGATCCTTTTAAACGGGAGACTGCAGGCTGGGGGGTCGTGAGAGCAGTGGCTGGGCCACCCAGGGCAGTACAAGAGGGAGGGAAGTCACCTGATGCCCCCAAAGCTGCAGGAGTCTGGGGGCCGCGTCCAGGAGGGACAGGAAGAGAGTGAGCCAGGGCAATTCATTCATGTGTAACTACTGAGTGCTGACTGCAAACGCTCACGCATGCCAGGCACTGTGGAAATCAAACAAAGACGGGGAAGGGCTAGTGCAGGGGTGGGGAGGGTGAGGTGGGGGGGCGGGCAGAAGGTCCAGGAAGAACCCAGCCCTCGAGGAGGAGCAAAGACACAGACCTGGAAGCCAGAGAGCGAGGCGGAGCCTGTGCTGCCCACTGCCTGTGCGGGTGGGGGTCCGCCTGACCCACGTGGTCCCTGCCTGGGCTCCACCCTCCCCTGAGCCCGAGGGGCAGGACTGGCACCTCTGGGCTGCTTGCCTGCTCCCCGCTGCCCAGGACTGGACACGAGCCGAGGGCGCCTCTGCCGGCTGCGGGGCGACAGGGGCCCGAGGCCTGAGCCGGGTGGGCACGGCCCAGGGAGAAGCTGGCTGAGGCGGCCTGAACGCGATGCCCTCCTCCCGGGACCTGTCCCCCGTGGGCAAACACCGGCGTCCAAGGCGTGAGGACAGTGAGCCGAGGAAGCACTTCCCGTCCACTTTCCCCACCCCCGCCGGGCAGGACAGAGCTCTGGGACACCGGGGCAAGTCCAGGCTGACCTGTGACCCGCGGTGCGCGTGTCCCCCATGAGCCAAGTGAGCTGGGGGCAGGGCCTTTCTCCCACGGCTGCAGCCCCCCCATCATAACTCCTCCTGGGACCCCTGGGCTGTGGTGGGCGCCCTCCTGGGCCTGTCCCTGGAAGTGTTGAGAGTGCCCGTGACTGACCTTCAGGGCCGGCCCGATGTCCAGATGCTGTGCCCGGCAGGCCCACTGCCAACCGCACCCCCAGCTCCAGCCCTCCGTGGAGACCTCCTGAAGGCTGGCCGCTCCCTTCCAGCCCACCCCTCTGCCCCCTGGGTCAGGGGTCAGCACTTCCATGTCCCTGCATCCCCTCCCCTTCCCTGCCCCCCAGCGCTCCTGTTCTCCTTCACGACTAGAGCCCAGCTCCCTCACCCCATCTCTGCCTCTGTCCACCTGGGCCTCGCCCGCTTGGCCTGAAGCTTTCAGACCCAGGCCTGGTCTCCACTTGGAGCCCTGGGCCGTGTCCTGGGGGTGCAGCCAACACCCAGGGAAGGGCTTCTGCAGGCCAAGGGGTGGTAGCGCTCAGAGCTGCTACTGTCCTGAGCCCCACCCCCAGGCCTTGACTCCCCAACGCCCACCACCTGGACACCCCTCCTGGCCCGCCAGGCCTGTGTTCCCCTCCCACCCCTGGGCAGCGGGGTACAGTTGAGCCATGACTGGTACCCCTGGACCATCAACCACCAAAGCCGGCCGGGCACACACCTCCCCGGAGACCAGTGGCCATCCCGATGACCTGCTTCCCCAGCAGACACAACGGCGGGGGTGGGGGAGCCCCTCTCCGAGCGAGGCCCAGGGGAGGCCCCCGCTCCTGGGCCCGCGCCCACGTGCCTCCCAGCATCGCCCAGGTGAGGGACGAGCCTCTCTGGACGCGGCCCTCGCTGCCTGCCCCGCCCCCTCTGTCTGTCCCCCTCCCGCCCCCCAGGCGCTGGCCCTGGCCCCCTCCCCAGCCCTCTCCCCTCAGTCCACAGCCCGCTTCTGGGAGGGGTGACCACCCACCGCCCTCCACGGTGCCCCTGCCAGCACCCCCACCCCTTCCTGGCTCCTCCCTCCCTCATGGCCCCGAGTGCCGGGGGTCTTCAGGCCCCTTCAGGAGCTGTCCTCCGGGGGCCGTCTGTAAGCGCCGGGGTCACTGCCCTGCCCGCGGGGGGCTCTTCTCAAACCGTTCCTTCCCTCAGCCTCCCAGTCTTAACGCTCAGCTACCCTGCCCGCCTCACCGTCCGCGCTGCAGACGCGGGCGCCCTTCCTGGCGCCCCGCGCCAGCCTCCAGCCGGCCCCCAAACTCTCCCCCTCGCCCCCCTCTCAGCCCACGCCCGCACTGCGAAATGCCCACTTCGGGCAACAGCCTCCGTCCACGCCAAGCTGGCCCTGACCCTCAGCGCCACCTCAGAGCCCCGCGTGCGCCAGGCCCGCCTGGAGGCCCCGATGCGGCTCCTGGCCGCCTTGGGGACACACATCCCCCTCCCCCGGACACCTGAGCTGCCGTGGCCCCGGGTCCACCCGCCTGCAGGCCGCTCTGCAGCACCCTGGGCTGAACCGGGCCTCCCCGGTCGTGTCCCGCGTGGCCTGCGCCCCTGTCCTAGGGCCCCTCAGAGGCTGACTGCGCCCGCGGGCCGCGAGCAGAGCCGCCTGGTTCAGGCCCACCCCCATCCCCCGACCCTGGCACTGGTGTTAACCCTGAAACGGCATCCTGACGCCTGCATCCCCCCCCAGTGACCCTCACGCAGCTCCGGGAAACCGGAAGGCAGCATCTGCCGCTCCGGGACGAGTGCGTGAGCGGAGGACGCCGCCCGGCTTCCGGTGCCCAAGAGGGACTGGGCGTGGCCAGGGCGCGGCAGTCGTCACTGCCCCGTGCTCCCGCCTGGTGGTAGGCTTTGCCAGATCTGACTCCACCAGGCGGGCAGCCGTGCCCGCTCTCTTCCCTCCTCTCCAAGGAGGCAGCCACCAAATGCCCCCTGAGTCCCATCCTGCAGAGCCGGTGGAAGACCCCCGGGGTTACGGGGCGGACGCTCCCTGGAAAAGTCAGCTGGATGCGGCACTCAGGACCCCAGGCAGTGCCTGAATGGGGTTCCCGAAGCCTCCAAATCCCACCTGCCAGGAGACTGGGCCACAGCTGGGCAGGTATTTTATTGGAGGTTCAAAGATACAAGAGGTCCGAGCAGGGTCACAGCTTGGAGGAGGTGGGGTCGGGGGGGGGAGTGAGCCCCCAGATGCTGGCAGGCCCCCGCCCCACGCTGGGAAGCTCCCATTCGAGCCCTTCTTGCGGGGTGTCAGGTCCGAGGGGCCCCGGGAGCCCAGGTGGGGGCACAGGCAGGGAGGGGGGCAGCCACTCAAAGCTGGGGTGCAGCAGCACAAGAAGAAACCCAGGGGCCCCCAGGAACGGGCAGGGGGCCAGGAGGCAGAGAGGCCGGACCGGCTCGAAGCTCTCCGCCCCCTTGACGGACGGAGCTTCCGACGGCCTCACTGCCTGGCTCACAGCTTCGGGGGGGGGGGGGTGCAGGGCGCACGCCCGGCTCTGCCCCGACCGCGGGGCGTCCGGCGTCGTGCCGGCCGTGTCTCAGGGCCGCATGTCCCGCCAGCGTGCCCGCCGGGGCCTCAGTAGTCGGCGAGCGGGTACCGCAGGAAGATGAAGACCAAGATGATGCAGGAAGCGGCCAGTGCGGAGCTCGCGATGTTGAATAGCCGCGCGGTCTTGGCGTCCTCCACCGCCCCGCCCATGTCGTTGAGGAGCTTCCTGTCCCGGACCTGCAGCCAGAAGGAGCGGCGAGAGCAGCGGTCAGGGCCGGGGGTGCGCACCCGGGCCGGGCGGGAGGGCGCAGGGGACGGCAGCCCCGAGCCGGGTCTGTTCCCGATTCCCGGCCACCGCCGGGCCACTGCCCAAGGAGGTCCTTGCTGGGTGGAAACGTGCGCCGGACTTCGGGGGCGGCGCGGGGGAGGCTTAGGGGCATCAGATCTGAACCTTACTCTCAGTTTACGAAACAAATAACCTGTATTTTTCCAATCCCAAAGAACGCTCAAACTACCACACAATTGCACTCATCTCACACGCTAGTAAAGCAATGCTCAAAATTCTCCAAGCCAGGCTTCAACATTAGGTGAACCGTGAACTTCCAGATGTTTAAGCTGGTTTTAGAAAAGGCAGAGGAACCAGAGATCAAATTGCCAACATCCGCTGGATCATCGAAAAAGCAAGAGTGTTTCAGAAAAACATCTATTTCTGCTTTATTGACTATGCCAAAGCCTGTGACTGTGTGGATCACAATAAACTGTGGAAAATTCTGAAAGAGATGGGCATACCAGACTACCTGACCTGCCTCTTGAGAAACCTATATGTAGGTCAGGAAGCAACAGTTAGAACTGGACATGGAACAGCAGACTGGTTCCAAATAGGAAAAGGAGTACATCAAGGCTGTATATTGTCACCCTGCTTGTTTAACTTACATGCAGACTACATCATGAGAAACGCTGGGCTGGAAGAAGCACAAGCTGGAATCAAGATTGCTGGGAGAAATATCAATAACCTCAGATATGGAGATGACACCACCCTTATGGCAGAAAGTGAAGAGGAACTAAAAAGCCTCTTGATGAAACTGAAAGAGGAGAGTGAAAAAGTTGGCTTAAAGCTCAACATTCAGAAAACTAAGATCATGGCATCTGGTCACATCACTTCATGGGAAATAGATAGGGAAACAGTGGAAACAGTGGCTGACTTTATTGTTTTGGGCTCCAAAATCACTGCAGATGGTGAGTGCAGCCATGAAATTCAAAGACACTAACTCCTTGGAAGGAAAGTTATGACCAACCTAGACAACATATTAAAAAGCAGAGACATTACTTTTCTAACAAAGGTCCGTCTAGTCAAGGCTATGGTTTTTCCAGTGGTCATGTATGGATTTGGGAGTTGGACTCTGAAGAAAGCTGAGTGCCGAAAAATTGATGCTTTTGAACCGTGGTGTTGGAAGAGTCTTGAGAGTCCCTTGGACTGCAAGGAGATCCAACCAGTCCATCCTAAAGGAGATCAGTCCTGGGTGTTCATTGGAAGGACTGATGCCGAAGCTGAAACTCCAATACTTTGGCCACCTCATGTGAAGAGCTGACTCATTGGAAAAGACCCTGATGCTGGGAGGGATTGGGGGCAGGAGGAGAAGGGGACGACGGAGGATGAGATGGCTGGATGGCATCACCGACTCGATGGACGTGAGTTTGAGTAAGCTCTGTGAGTTGGTGATGGACAGGGAGGCCTGGCATGCTGCGATTCATGGGGTCGCAGAGTCAGACACGACTGAGCAACTGAACTGAACTGAACCAGTGGTAAAGAATCCGCCTGCCAGTGCAGGAGACATCAAGAGACATGGCTTAATCCCTGGGTTGGAAAGACCCCCTGGAGGAGGGCATGGCATCCGCTGTAGTATTCTTGCCTGGAGAACCCCATGAATAGAGGACTGAACCCCTGGAGCGCTGCAGTTCATGGGGTCGCAAAGAGTCGGACGCGGCTGAGTGAGCACACACGCAGGAGAGGTGAATGTGGTAAACTCCAAACCTCTGGGGGTCTGGGTGAGGGTGTGCAGGAGCTTCTGTATCTCCTCTCTGGTAGCTTCTATGTAGATCTAAAGCTATTTAGGGGACCTCCCTGGTGGTCCAGTGGCTACGACTCTACACTCCCAGTGCAGAGGCCCGTGCTGGATCCCTGGTCAGGGAGTGGGATCCCACAGCCAAGAGTTCACACGCTGCAGTGAAGACCCAGCACAGCCAAATAAATACATAAACAAAATAAGTATTAAAAATATAAAACTATTTAACACGGATTGTTAATGCTGTTTTACGTACTTGAAATTTGCTAAGAGGGTGGAAATTCAGTTTTCTTATTACCAAAAAAAAACCACAACAAAACCACCAGAAGGTAATGATGAGGGGTGATGGAGTGCTAACTAATGCTGTTGTAGAAGTCACTTCATGCTACACACACGTCAGATCACCATGTACACCTTAAGTGTATTCAGTGTCACAGGTCGACTATGTGTCAACAGCTCTGGGAAAATAAATGAAAGAGGACGCTGGCCTCAGAGCACGTCCTGTGACTGGGTGATGGCCATCACAAGAGTGTCCCAACTTGACTGGTTCCACCTCATTTAAAGTTAGCTGGGATTGCCTGAGAACACACACCGTGGGTGGACAAGAGGCAGCCCCCGGGGTCTCTGAGACGGGCTATTAAAGTGAAGGGGGCACTCCCCTGGTGATCCAGGGGTTGAGAATCTGCCTTCCAGTGCAGGGGACGTGGGTTAGATCTCTGGTCAAGGAACTAAGACCACGTGCATGGGGCAACTCAGCCCACACACCGCAACAAGAGAAGCCTCCACAGTGCAGCCAGAAAGCCCGCGTGACGCAACCAAGACCCAGCACAGCCACACGCATGCTGGGGTGAGAGGAGCGGCCTGCAGTCCAGTGAGTCCTGTGGAGCCGGCGGGCGGTGGCGGACCTGTTGCCAAGATCCTCTGGCTGGGAAGAAGTGTCCCTGGGGAGGTGTCCCTGGCCTCATCCAGGCCGGGTCTTAGGAGTCCCCTTTCCTCCCACCTTCTTCCGTCGGGCCCAGAGAGGTGCAGGTCTGAGCATACTGCAAGCAGGGTCTGGGAAGAGGAAGAAAGGGAGCGAGGAGAGAGACAAGAGAGGCAGGAAGAGAAAGTCTGCATCAGTAGATTGGTGGGTGGGTGGGTGGATGGATATACGGATGGATGAATGGGTAGATGGATGGATGAGTGGATGGATGGATGGGTGGGTGGATGGATGGGTGGATGGGTGGGTGGATGGATGGATGGGTGGATGGATGGGTGGATGGATGGACAGATGGATGGATGAGTGGAGGGATGGATAGATGGATGGGTGGGTGGATGGATGGGTGGATGGGTGGGTGGATGGATGGATGGGTGGATGGATGGATGGGTGGATGGATGGATAGATGGGTGGATGAATGGATAGATGGATGGGTGGGTGTATGGACAAAAGGCAGGTGCCTGGGTTAGGCAGATAGATGACACTGATGTCTGGCTGCCTGGAGGGTGGGTTACCCAGAAGGATGGGAGGAGGGATGGCAAGCTATCACAGGGTGACATAGATGATCAGGAGGGTAGGAGCGTGGAGGGGTGGATGGACTTCCTGTGGACACTCAGGAAAGAACCCACGGAGCAGGGATGTTTGGGTAAAGCTGATGAGAGCATGGAGACGCAGTCATATGCTCACCTGCAGGGAAAACAGGTGTTTAAAGATAAATGTCCCGGGTGTAGATGCGCCGAGGTCAGAGAGATAACCAGAGGCCAGTGTGGGGAGGGCAGAACCCAGAGGGGAGGGGAGCTTCACAGGCACTGTGTGGGGCTTCATTGGCACTTTTTAGCAGAAAAATGGCTGGCTCTGGCATTTTCACTCTGGTAATTCTGGATGCTGTGTGGAGAACAGACTGCAGGGGCAGAGGCTGGACAGAAGCAGAAAAAAGGCTCACTTAACAGGCCCAGGTGCGTGGTCAGGGTGGGTCGTGTCAGCTCAATAGACATGAAGGTGGTAAGAACCGACCTTTTTCTGGATCTATTTTGAAGATACAGCTGACAGTATTTACTGGGATCATATGTGCAGTGTGATAAAAAAAGAAAGGAATTTGAGATGATTGCGAGGCTTTTTGATCTACTGAAATAAGGGGGTTGTAGGACACTCCAGGAGGAGAACGTTTGTGAGTGATTCAGTAGTTTGATTTTTGACATGAAGCTAGAAATGTCTTCTAGACATAGAGCTAGATATTTTGAGCAGGTAGGTTTTGTAGAGCCTAGTTCAGGGGTGAGGTCCAGGGCAGAGATACAGACTGGAGGAGCATCAACATAAAGATGCTACTTAAAGCTATGAGGCTGGACGAGAGCACCAAGGGAGTGAGTGCTGACGTCGGGGAAAGGAGGGCCAGGGACCACGCCTGGGAGCACCCCAGTAGGAGATCCAGGAAGCAGGAGCAGTCAGGAGGGGAGGCTGAGACGAGCAGGCGAGAAAAGCAGAAGGAACGGGGCTTCCCTGGTGGTCCAGTGGTTAAGAATCTGCCTTCCAATGAGGGAACATGGGTTCGATCCCTGGTCGGGGAATTAAGATCCACGTGCTGAGGGGCAACTAAGCCTGTGCTGCAAACAGAGGAGCCCGTGTGCTGCAACGAAGACCCAGAGTAGCCGCCCGCCCCCAAAACACAAAAAACAGATCAGAAGAAAGCCAAAGAGAAGGGAAGGATGGCGGTGGGGGAAATGGCTGAATGGAGGAGGAATAAACAGGGAGGAACGGAATGGATAAACGGATGCGTGGCCTGGGGGCAGAGAGGTCGTTGGGTGATGCTGGCTGGATGAGGGAAAGAGAAGGAAGGCCCTTCAGCAAGTGAACAGACTGATGGATGAGAAGTTGGGTCAGACAACTAAGCAAGGAAATGAGAAAAACAGGAAGATGAGCAGGTGCATAAATGGATGGGCAGCTCTTTGATGAGCATGTGTATTACTGGGGTGATAGACTGATAGTGTGTGAAGGGAAGAGGGGGAAGATTGGTGGATGGGTGCATAGATGAATTGACACCAGGCAAAGCTGACTACCTGGGTGGATACAGTAAGTAACTGGGAGAAAGGAGTAGAGGGAAGAAAGGGAGGGCGAATACACAAACGGATGAATGAGCAACTTAATTTAGAGGTGACTGAACAGGAAGCATGAATAAATGAAAGGAAGACACAGAAATGTAC